CATTACTACTTAAGATGTATCCTCATACTGTTTGTTAGTATGAGTTAAGTTTTATCGTGGAGACATGCTTGTACTTGTAGCCTGTTGACTTTCTAACGTATTTTGACCTGACTACTGGGTTAGTGCTGCCGTTTCTTGGAACGTCCTCCTTGTGTGCTGTTTTCTTTTTCTAATGTGCATCCTCAAGTAATCATTCCAGGACTAAAGGGGAGAGAGAGACTGTGAATCCTTAAGTGACTGAGAGGGCTTTGGTTTGCTGTCACACGTAAATGACAGCCCCACCCTGTCTTCCCCCGAAGACTCTTGTGGAGTACACTGGCTGTAGGCAGCGTGGGGTCAGCCAGACTAATGATAACTTTGTAATAGATTTAATTCTGCTAAGTGTAGTAGAAAAGAAAGTGCAGAATCAAAATATTATATTAGAAAGAATTTGTCTGAAAGAAAAGCCAAACATAAACCAACCAAACAAGAGTATGATTCCCATTAATAGCAACGTCTAGGAAAGCGCATCACTTAGTTGATGGAAGCGAGGAGTGGAGGGAGGGGTGGCTGCTAGGGGCACAGTGGTGCTGCTGTGGGTGGTGGAGATGCTCAGTGTCTTGGGTGATGGCCACAGGCATATACACAGAACACGTGACATTTTACACTTTAGGTGTGTGCACTTTGTTACATGTAAATTGTACCTTAATAGTTAAAATTTCACCCTACTATTTATTATCTATAACTTCACTGTGATTACAGAGCATATCAATAATTTAAGGCTGCTTTCTTCTTTTATCAGAGACAGACATATATATACACACAGATATATATGTGAACTTTAAAATATTTACAGAGTTATACAATTCATATAATGCTACTTTTAAAATTTTATGTCCAGTACATATTTGAGTGACATGACTGTATGGTAAATGAAAACATTTTAATTTTTTTTTTTTTTTTTGAGACAGAGTCTCACTCTGTTGTCCGGGCTAGAGTGCCATGGTGTCAGCCTAGCTCACAGCAACCTCAAATTCCTGGGCTCAAGCGATCCTTCTGCCTCACCCTCCCGAGTAGCTGGGACTACAGGCATGCACGACCATGCCTGGCTAATTTTTTTTTATATATATTTTTAGTTGTCCAATTAATTTCTTTTCTATTTTTAGTAGAGATGGGGTCTCGCTGTTGCTCATGCTGGTCTTGAACTCCTAACCTTGAGCTATCCTCCCGCCTCGGCCTCCCAGAGTGCTGGGATTACAGGTGTGAGCCACTGCGCTTCGCCTTTAATTTTTGACATTACCATAAAAAGCAGTATATTCTGGAACAAAGGCAAGTTTAACTGAATTGCTGATTCATTAATCAATTTCAATTTGTAGCTTCATATAATTTGGCATATTATATATATAGATCTTTTTTTCTATAGAGAAGCTCTGATTTCATTATGGATAGAGGCAGGTGATTCAGTTTTTCATTTAATTCCTTAAACCCATCCTTGTCACTCATTTCCACTTTGTGTCTCTCGTGTTATGGATGTGGGGGATGTTCTGCGTTATGAGCTGCTGTTGTGTCACTGGCCTGTTGCAGCAGACTGGAGCGAGGTGACACCAGACTAAGTAAAGCTGTGGACCTGAGGGCTTTTCTTAGAGAACCAAGGGCACAACTAAGAGTGACTTCCGCGAACTGTGTTGTTGTCTCAGAGCACTTACTGTGATCAGAGACTTAAAGTCCAAGAACTCACATGATAATGGCTGTGCCACAGTACCTGGGAAGCCAGATGTGTTCTTTCACTTTGTCGCTGTGTAGAGGGTATGGTTTCCAGGCACCATAGATGTCTGGAAATATGTTTCTGGCTTTTGTGATCAAGCCAATTTATTAACAACCACGAAGCCACAGTAATTTTCAATAAATCATGACATGCTGATTTATTTCAAAAGATCTATATAGCAATAAACAATACCATTTACATTTAATTAGTTTTATTGAACAAAAGGCAATTTTATTTGTAATGAACCACATGTTATGATTAAGGATGTATTTTAATGACCTTTAAGTAATGTGAACAAATGTTGCCCTTGACCTAATAGCAGAGGCTTTTCTACATTATTGAAAACTTGAGAATGATTTTTAAATTATCGTGAAAAGCTTCGAATGACATTCTCATTATTGTGCCATTATTCAGTCGTTTGATGTCTACTATATTAGATGAAATGCATTCCTCTAAATGCTCATGTGCACATAGAAATGAGCTTGTTGCCATGTTCTTTATTTTCATGTATCAAAAGGTCTACTACATGAAAATTTCATGTTTTGAAAATCACTGTCACAGTGTAATATTTAAATGATAGGCAATTCTTAAACTTGCCTTATCTCTAGGGTGTTTGGCTGCTTATTAAACATTCTAGCAGTACATTCATGAGTCTCAAGTTATTATACAATGTATTTCTTCTTGTATAAACTATCTTGACTTAATTAACTTGAAAATAAATTTTTGTTAGTTAATATATAGTTTAAGCTATAGTAACAGCTCTATGGTGGGGAACTGGTGTGTTCAACCTTTATTCCACCCTCTTACAGCCTCTGTTCTTTAGAAACTTGAAAACGAATTTGCATGTTCTTCCCAGAGCCCCTTGAAGGTGTGTAAGTCAGTCCCTTTTGCGAGGCAGGAGTGAGGAGGAGTTTACCTTTCTGCCCGTGGGTGTTTCCTGAAGGCTGGTGTCCTTGTGACATCTGAGTTCCTTCTGCTACTCTGCAGCTCAGGGCTTGGTGGCAGTTGCCATGCAGGCAGTGATCTCCACACCCTGGCGTCACAGCTCCATTGGCATGGCTCAGACGCCATCCTTGCCTTCGTATGTTTGATGGAGGATCATTTTGGTCACATTTCTGAGAGTAAGCTTTGGAGGTTCAGTCATGAGCTTCATCCTTCCTCTGATTTTGGAAACATCTCATCCTGTATATTAAGGAAACATCTCATCCTGTATATTAAGTCACTTTCTGCTAGATTGCAGCGGTCCCCAAACTTTTTGACACCAGGGACCAGTTTCATGGAAGACAGTTTTTCCATGGACCCGAGGGTGAGAGGTGGTTTGGGGATGATTCAAGCATTTATTGTGCAGTCAGTCCTCTCTGCTAATGATAATCTGTATTTGCAGCCACTCCCCAGCGCTAGCATCACCACCTCAGCTCCACCTCAGATCACCAGGCGTTAGAGTCTCCTAAGAAGCACAACCTGGATCCCTCCAAGTGCAGTTTACAATAGGGTTTGAGCTCCTTTGAGAATCCGATGCTGCCACTGATCTGACAGGAGGCGGAGCTCAGTCGGTGATGCCAGCCCTGGGGAGCGGCTGTAAACACAGATGAAGCTTTGCTCACTCATCCACCGCTCACCTCCCGCTGTGCAGCCTGGTTCCTAACAGGCCACGGACTGGTACTGGTGTGCAGCCTAGGGGTTGGGGACCACAGTGCTAGAAGACCTAGGGTGGTTTCTGTTTCCTGTACTAATGTCACTCAAAATGTGACCCCAAATCAAGTTTTTCACTGTCAACACCCCAGAGGTGGGTGGTCTAAGCCTGGTAGAACAACTTTGTCATCTTCCAGGTGACTTTGCAGGATGGGTTCCCATGGCGGCTGCAGGAGAGGGCAGGATGGGCCTGTGGGGCACTTGCAGCCCAGAAGGGCATCCGTTTCTGCTCACGTTTGCGGGCTAGAATCAGTCACATGGCCATGACCAGCTGCAGAGAAGGCTGAGAAATGTATTCTTTAGGTGGGAAGCTACCTGCTCATCTAAAGCTCAGAAAGTCTGCTTTTAAAATGAAACAGGAATAATAAAGGTTGAAGATAGTTCACACCATTTCTTCTTCTTCTTTTTTTTTTTTTTCTGTTGAGAGTCTTTGATTTCCTCTTAATGCTGCTTAGTGAATGGAGTGCACTAAAGCTATTTGGTCAGTTTTCTAGGAGGATTTTGTTGCCCTGCAAATAGGATGTCTCCTTTAGAATTGTCGTCATGATTCCCATTTTTATTAGCACCAAGTACTTCTTAATTGTTCTTCAAGGAACTTGAAGCAGTTTATAAATTTGTATGTTCCTGATTCATATAGATTAAAGTAGGAAATAAATGTAAAAGTAGTAAATATGTCTTTTAGAGATGAAAGAAGTCATATCAATTTTAGACCATTATGTGTTGTTCTCTGTTAAAAGAATATTTTCTTAGGCTGGGCACAGTGGCTCATGCTTATAATCCCAGGACTTTGGGAGGCCTGAGGAAGGAGGATTGCTTGAGGCCAGGAATTTGAGACCATCCTGGGCAACATAACAAGACCTCATCTCTACAAAAAATAAAAAAAGTTAACCTGGTGTGATGGCACATACCTGTAGTCTCAGCAACTTTTGGGAGGCTGAGGCTAGAGGATTACTTGAACCTAGGAGTTTGAGGTTACAGTGAGCTATGATTGCACCACTGCGATCCAGCCTGGGTGACAGAGTGAGACCCTGTCTCCTAAAAAAAGAAAAATGTTTTCTTAAAAGTGATTGAGCATGATAAACAATCCACCAGTCCCACTGGCAGAAGAGATCTATTGAGAAAGAGCCCTGTGTTTAGAGCATGAGGAAGCCAGCAACCACCCTGCTACCTTCTGAAAGGACCAATGGAGTGCTGCACAGATATAGTGACATAATCACACATCCCTCTCTGTGGGTCTCTTTGCTTCACATGGAACTGCAGGAACCTTGTACACAGCCCCAGGAGGTGGATGTTTTACGAGTACCTCCCAAGTGGTTTCGACATATATCTGACATTAAGCAGTGGTGTTCTGTTAGAATCAAAATCATGCCCCTGTTGAGCTTAAGTATTTGGTTTTTTAGTCATCTTCCATCCTAATTCATGGTGTTGGCACACAAAATCTAAGAATATCAATGATCACTTTTGGTAAATAATATATGAAAAATAAAAATTAGCAATTGAAAATTGCCCAAGTAATTTTACTAAATTATATTATTGTAATTAATTCAAATGTTCTGTATTTCAGGACCTTTTTTCTATCAATGCTTATGTTTATGCTCAGAAGCCACAGCTGGATATTCATAGCTTTGAAGGCACATTTACCAGGGTAAGTTCAATCTCTTGAATATATTCATTGTGTGTGCAAGTTAGAAGTAGCAGAGTTTTGTTTTGAGAGATCAGTTCAATCAAGTTCAAGTTCATGCAGTTCTAATTTCCTTTCGAAGTAGAAAGGGAAAACCCTACATAATGTTTCAACTTCTTAAATTTTCCTCTATCAGATATGTTTTTTGGATATATTCAGTGTAGTTTTTCTAACTTTTTAGCATATTTACTATTGATAAGCTCTTTATCTTCTAAAATATTGTGAGTCAGAAAAATAAAATAATTTAACTATTTCAGTTTTAACTGGATAGTTGGTATCCTGTGGTATACACGTCATATCTAATTTTTTGTTAACTGGATGTATGAATATATACATGTATGTATGTGTGTGTCTCTGTGTGTGTACATTTCTTTATATACATATGCCTATTTCATGCCACGTACTTTTCATTATTAGGAAGTTTTGGCAAAGCTTGAATCCCCTCCAATCCTGACTAATAGAATGTGAAGGACTCAGTCACTTCTGATTTTAACAGCTTGTAATTGATATCATAAATGCTTTATAATGAGGAATTTTAATTTGTGACTATAGTTTGTTTTTAATTGCTGCAATTATTTTTAAAAGATGTATGTTGGTGCAGTCTCCTTTGTTTCACTCTTGGTCACATGCAAGGTTTGGCAAGTAGTTGTCATCACTTGGGAAAGCATTTACAGAGCTTATATCATGGGAAAGTTCATGTGCAGATGAAGGACGTGAGGTGAGGGCACCTGTGAGGTTGCTGGGTCCTGTAGGGGGAGGGACATCACCTCGCAGCTGCTCATTTCCATGAGTGCTACACACAAGCACTGAAAAATGTTCTTGGAGACACAGGAGGAAGCATGTCCTGGTGATAAGTGCTAGAGAATGAGTTCTGAAACACATTCATGTCTTTTTGTGTTTTTACAAAAATACTTATTATGAAAACAGCGTGTTCTTATTAAAGACAACAGATGAGAATAAGTGTTATAAAGAGGTACCCTTAGTATACTCAATTAAGAGTTAATAATGTATCCACTATTAAGAATTTGGAATATTATTTCTTTCTTCCTTTCCTTTCCTTTTCTTTCTCGTTCCTTTCCAATTTATATTGCTTATGACTTCCTAAACGTTGGATGCCTTTGCCATACTGTGTGTAGAAGTACATGAAGTGAGCAGTGTGTCCCAGCTAGGAGCCCTGACTGCAGCGCCTGTATCGGAGGGGTGTTGTGTGTGCCTGAGGACATGGGTGTGGGGAGGCTGTATAAACCTGTAGCCCCAGCTGCTTGGGAGGCTGAAGCAGGAGGATCACTTGAGTCCAGGAGTTGGAGGCTACAGTCAGCTATGATTGCGCCACTGTACTTTAGCCCACGTGACAGAGCAAGACACTGTCTCAAAAAAAAAAAAAAAAAAAGAAGAAGAAGAAGAAGAAAGAAAAACGATGCTACAGGCATAGCACTTGTATATGTGTTTTTGGTGTCTGCACATGCCTTGTACGTACAAACAGAGCCAAAGAGGAAGGAGAAAAAGAAAAGGAACTGATGTGCCGGCCTCTGCCAGCCCCTGGAGCGAGTCGATGGGAAGAGGCCAGGCCAGTGAGGGTTTGTGGCTGTGAACAAGGGTTTGTGGCGTGGGAGAAGACGCAGTGGGCACCAGGGAGTGCTTGGTGCTGGAGGTCAGAGTGGGGGAAGGGTACAGGTTAAGGTTGAGGCATGAAGCAGTTGTGTTCTACTTTAGTCTCACGCATTACTTTACTAAGGGTTTAATTCTGAATTATGATTTTCAGACACTCAGCGTTCCTAGGCTAGCAGTTGTGGCACTGAGGGGTAGGAATTCAGGAAGACATAGCACCCCTTCAGTACACACTCCCTCGGGGTTATCACCAGTGACAGCCTTTGCTGGTGAAAGTGAGGGCCGAGTAATTCACATTTGCAGGGCGTGGAGATGGTGAGTGTTGGTTATCTTACCTTCAGAACCTCCTTGTTTTTGAGTCTGTGAATTCAGTTTTGAGATTGAGCGGTATAGCACATGCCGGAAGTGTCGCCTCGCTTTCTTCGCCAGCTCCGCTGCATTCGCCTCCTTTCCTACTTAGGACTGGTTTGTTCACAGCGGTGAAGCACGGTGCTGACTCCCTGGTCATTTTCCCTCTTGGAAGCACAGCCCATTCCTGCTTAACCTCTGACTCCCACTTGGCGACAACCTGTCCCCTTCTTGTGTTTCAGGCATATTTGTGGCTCTCGGCATGGAAGTTCCAAGGGAGGCTTCTTCTGCGAGGGGTGATGTGGGTGGACCCCTCACTTCTGCTGCTTCCTCCAGGTCTGAACCTGTCTGAGCCTGGAGGTCTGCAGAAGGGCTGGGCAGGCACACATCTGTGCTGCAGCGGCTATCATGGTAGGGACCCCTCTTTGGACAGGGCAGTCGTGAGTGTGGCAGTCGCTTCCTTCTTCCTGGCCCCCTTGATGCTGGACAGTGCTTCAGAGAGGAGCAGCCCCTGTAGGCAGGTCACGCTCTGAGCCGCCCTGGGGTGGGTGACGTTGGCCCTGGTTCATGTCTTGACAGCGGCCCCTGGGCAAGTTCTGCCAGGGCAGCCCTGGCACCGCTGGATCCTCCTCCCACCTTCAAGGCCTGCTGGCCTCTGCTACTCAGACATGTGTTTCTGCACTCAAGACTCTGACAGGCTAAAACCTGCCACTCTGCCAGTCTTCTTATTGCACACATGGCCACGACTAAGGCCACAGCAGGGCACATAGGCCCATGTGCCACCCAGCTCCACGCTGTCCCCCTCTTGCAGGACCAAGGCTGTGCTCTATGTGCGCCCTCCATCCTCTTTCCTCTGACTTTGTTCCCATTCCAGCTCTCTGGCCGTCGGTCCTGTATCCTGCAACACGTGGTCTGTGTACCATGGATCTCTCCATGTGTCCATGCTCCTCTGTTACTCAGTGGCTCCCTGGGCCTTTCAGAGTCCGGCTGAGCCCTCGGGGCAGCTCTGGCAGGCTGCAGGGGCCTGCCTTCCTCATGGCCGGGCCGTTCCACGCTTCGTGGGCAGAGGCTGAGTTGTGGGAGGATGCCGGCGATAGAAGTGAGTCCAGTTTACAGCAGTGCATGTGAATGCTGTAGGTAGAGAATGCAAGTCTGTGCAGGGTCGATTCTCATCTGAACTAGTCTGAACAGTTTTACTGGTTCTTCCTTTAATTAATACGTTAAAGAAAATCTTTGAAAAGTGTTCATTTTATATTCTTGTGAGTCATAATTTTGAAAATTGCCATCCAGCAGTCGATGCCCTGTGGCAGCAGGGCCCATCTCTTCTTATCCTGTGTGGTAGCCCGGACCTGGTTATGGCGTCCAGCATGGGTCAGGGTGCCGAGCAGTGTGATACCTCTCGAGTGAGGAGTTAGCCAGTCTGGTTGTACTCAGAAGAGAGACTACTATAGTGTCCCTTGTTCAAACCGACCTTTCCAATCTTTGTTTGGCGCTACAGATTGTGTGCATTTTACATTTCCTCAAGGCTGCTTTGCTTAACAGAAAACAGTATGCTCTTGAATTTCTTCAATTTTTAGGTACCACCACAGCTTTGCTGCATTTTCTTCTGTAGATCAGGGGAGGCTGCAAATAGTTAACACAGTTTCCTTCAATATAAGCACCTCTTTAACTCTGGCATTGCACTGTGGCTTCACCACTTTTTAGATGGGTGAGCTTGGCAGAACGCAGCATACTTCTGAGTCTTACATCTCAGAGCAGTCAGAGAACACATAGGAACTCTGGAAGTGTTGGCTGTCATCCTTTTTCCTGTATGAGCACCACTCCTGGGAATGTATGCCACGAGGCTCATACAGGTGCAGGACCTGGTTGGTGGTGAGTGGGATGGGAGCAGGCCCAGTTTCCCAGTGGGGAGGTCTGTGAGAGTGCCCTTCCTGGGCTGGGGTCCTCATCCCTCCCAGGTGAGCCATGTGTTGATATTGTGATGAGAAGAGTTCAACTTGTATGCAGCGTAAACACAATGGGCAGTTTTCTATGGCCAGTCCTTCAATTTCTTTCTTTCCTAACACAAACAAAAAACCCGAGGTCATCTTATGTTTGTATTTTGTGCCTTATATTTTATCTTGCCTTTTCCTGTCATTTAAGGAGGGTTAATATCACCTGAAAGCATCTAAAACTATCTCTGGGTCATGATGGGTGTTTCAGATTGAAGCAAAGATACCCTCTTAGGGCGGTCGTGGCATACTGTGAACTGATATATTTAGAACATGAGTTTCACTGCAGAGAGAGAAGAAAGACAAAACAGTGTAGCAGTTGTGCTATTGGTGATTTGCTGTGTGTCTTAGCTATTTTACCGAGGCAGAGGTCACCCAGGTCAGAACAGAGACAGGGTTAGGAGCCGTCCACATGAGAGCAGATGGAGGTGGGGACGGTCCAAGTTGGAGCAGACAGAGGACTGGACTGTTTGTGAGTTATGGCAAGTTCTTAATGAGTGTCATTCAAATAAATGGCCTTTCATTGCCTTTATTTGATGTTTTCTAATAGGATTTTGTTTAGCTCACTTTAAATATATCAATCTTGAGTTACAGATTGTTTAAGACAAATCTTTTTTTGTGCATTTTTTGAAAAAGAAGAAAAAGACAAGTAGTTTTGTAACTGGAAAATGGAGTTCACTTTAATTATTCAGATTTATCAACCAAACTGTTAAAAAGTGATAGCTGCTGCTTTTCCTTTGTGTATAGTGTAATATACATCAGAGAAAATGCATTTTTTTGGTATGAACTTAATTACTTAAACAAGAATTAGAGTGACTAACCCAAGGCTTCCTGGCCTGTGCAGAGTCTACTGTCGACAGGTGTGCTGTGAACCTGCTTCTCTCCCCCACAACAGTGTCAGGGCAACCTGCATCGCTGACTGTGTAACGTTTTGCATTATATAAATGGTCCATGTTATTGTTCTTGATATCATTGATGTCACTTACTGTTCAAGACACAGGTCTTCTCTTGGAAGTTTGGAGTTTGAGATTCTAGCCAGTTTTGAAATATTAGCAGTATTCATAGTCTGTTGACATCATATTCCCATTTAATCTTTTTTATGATGTATTTTCTGCTGTAATTTCTTTGCAAACCATAGCATACTTATCATTGTTCATGTCTTTTTCAATCAAAATAGTCTTCTTTTGAAAAGAAAACCTCTTTTATTTACAAAATGGGGTATACTGTTGAGAAACCAGCTTGAAATTGTAACATTCTGCATTCTTCCCTCCGCCCCCCAGCAGATTTTATCTTTTTAAACTGTATAACATTAAGGAGAAGGAAACCAAAAGAGAAGGTTATTTTGAGATAATTTCTTTCCCATCTTCCCAATCTTTATTCTGTACTTCATGAGATTGGTAAGTAACTATCTTTTAGAATAATTTTCTTCTTATTAGAGAAATGTTTAATGTTTAAAGTCCATCATTGCTATTGCAGAATTGAAAGGAAAATGCATAGATACTGTGTGTCCTTCCATACATGATTGTGTCAGAAATAGACAAAAACATTCACTGATTAAATGGTCATGGGAAAGTAATAAGAGAACCAACTTAAATTTCTAAAACTAAATTGTATAGAATCTTTTATTTGTAGTTCAGAAAGCCTTATAAACTTTTTATATTTTTTAATACTCTTCTTTTTCTTGGAGTTCAACGTAGGGGAAAATACTATACACTAAAATATTTGCATGCATTAATGATTTTTTAAACTTTCACATTAAGGGAAACCTTAGGAAGGTTCAAGGGAGTAAATGGTGTGAGTTTGTATGTGGGTACTGAGTGGTGGTGCAGAGCTGCTGGCGGGGCTGAAGCAGCACCTGCCTCTGCACCCCACAGCAGGAGGCTCAGGGTGGCAGCAGAGTGTAGACCGGACGCAGGGCCACAGTGCAGGGCCTGGTCCTGTGGGAATGAGAGGAAGAGTTACGGCTTTGCTTATTCTTGTATTTGTTCCTTTGCTAGCTGGGGCTGAGTGCCTGTTCTGTGATGGGAGCCGTCACGTAGCTTACAGTCCTGTGGGGAAACAAGCATCTGCATTGCTTTGATATAATGAAAATAATTCAGGGTTTATTTTAGTGGATAACTTTATTTGCTCCAACCTTAAATGATAAATGTGCGATTGGCTTATTTATGCCAGTTACATACTCAGTTTGCTAGATTGTAGCCGGAATTCCTAGACCAACATTCAGTTTGAGGCTATACCTTGTTGGCCACGTTAGGGAAAAGGAAGTGAGGACATACAGATTTTACTGTCTTTCCAACAGTATTTATCTGAATTACACTCTTAAGACCATCTATGCGAATGAATCAGAAATTGGTCATTTCAGTTCAGTCATAAATTCAAGTACATAATTAGTATAGTGGGAGGCTACTCACTTTTCTAAAAGTTCATTTTTCTTGGTTTTATAAAACCATAAAAGTCAAAGGGAAAACTCAGTTTTTCTGGATTATCTGTTTCTGCTTTAGGCAATTTTTATCCCTTTACCTTGAATAGATACTATAGTTATAAACAAAAATGGCCTGGCATTTTCTGTGGAGGAAACAAGAACAGGATTGGAAAACAAAGTACTTGAATATTCTTATGTATTTTAAAGACTGTAATGATGGTATGTTAGCTACTGTGGAAGAGTTTAATTTGATTCCAGTATGTTTAGAAATTTATGAATGCATATTACCATTGGCATAAAACTGTATAAGGAAAATGGTTAATGGTGGGTCCCAACTGGGGTCTGATGCACACAGCGCAGCGGGGGCCAGCCTCCTTCTGAAATTAAACTTTATTTCTGAAAACACTTTATTTTGTAAATATTTGCAGAGTTAGGGGAAATATTAATAGTTTGGAAACTGTAGAATTGGTTTAGATTCTTTGCCTCACAAGTAAATCAGAGAATCAGATACCAACTATCTTCCATGTAGCTATCAAAACGGCCAGAACTCACATCACTGAAGGTGGTTTGTTGAGTGAATGGAAAGGAAATACTAGCAGCACAGACCTGTTTCTCACATGCAGATTATTTTGGAAAATAGGTTTTCAGTTTCTTCCCTTCCTTCCCAATTTTGATTTCTTTGATATCTTCAAATATATGCTGATAGCAAGTTACCAGTTTATATTAAAATGCATTTCTCTGGAGTGGCATTGTTTTAGAGGAGACTCCCAGCAGCTGGGACAGCTCTTCCAAGCTGCTGCGAGGGCAGGGCTGTGGGTGTTTGCGGTCCTTTGTTCTAGCACGGTTTCCGTGACCAAATACGGACTGTGACTTTAGAATAAGATGAATAGTTCTGAGATTTTATATTGTAATTTTTGTCTCTGAAATGATGGAGACTCAGACTTGTGGGGGGAGGGGGGAAAATGGGCATTTATTGAAACCTTAAAATCTGTACCCCCATAATATGCCGAAATAAAAAAAAAAGTGTAAAGATAAAGGTAGACTACATATATTGCAGTTGTGATATTGCTGTATGGCTATGTTTGTTATCTGTGTACATAACTAGCAACATTCAGCTTATATTTGATTTTTGTTTTAATGAAGAGTATCCAACATAATAATGACATATTTTTAAAGAGGAATTTAAGAGAAAAGACATTTCTGTTCATATATGTGTGTGTGTGTATGTGTGTGTGTGTGTGTGTGTGTATGTTTTACAACAATATTCACAGAAGCATTTTTTTCTGTCGTGAGTATATACACATTTGAAAAAGCATAGCCCTTATCTTTAACAAATGATAAGGGGAGAAGATTCTTTCATGCATATAAAATAAATGTTGAATACTTGATTTTTAGTGGTTTCTGGGCTAATGTTTTCTACTTGTCTAGCAGTGCTGTAGTGTTATTAAATCACATATTTGAAGATGCAGTTTTACTCTTAAAATATTAGAGCAAGCTGGGTGTGGTGGTGCACCTGTCGTCCCAGCCACTTGGGAGGCTCCCTTGAGACCAGAGTCCCAGAGCAGCCTGGGCAACATAGTAAGACCCTCTCTCTAAACAAATAAATAAATGGATGGATGGATGGATAGATAGATAGAAAGAACATGTAGTATTTTCATGAAAATTTAAATTGCTTTGTGTATGTTAAAAGTAAACATTAAAAATAATCAATTGATTAGAGGTGGTCTTCACATTTGGTTTTAATTTCCTACATTTCCCTTCCCTGCCCTCCCGTTTTGTGGTGCCTTTTCACTGCTGTTCAGTTGGATCCGGCTGTGGACATGGTTTTAATACTGTGGACATTTAAAGTATGAATAATAAAAGAAAAATCACTAATTTGCCAGTTTTGTTTTCATTTTTCTCTCCTTGAATAGGAAGACAGTGACCCGCCCATCCATGAAAGTCTCAGCATAGAAAATACCTTGTGGGCAAGCACTGTTGTTGCATCAGGTAAGACAGTCTCCTCTGAGTGTGAATTCTCACAGACAGATGGTGCTTTGTGTTGTCCAGGGGCTGCCCTGAAATACGTAGTGACCTTGCTCCACACAGACTGCCGGTCTGCAAGTTGGGGTGGCCTGGGAGTGTGCGGTGAGGCCCATGCAGGGGACAGTCCCTGCACTTGGTGCTCGAGGCCTGGGGTAGGCAGAGAAGCACAGCCTTCGTGTGGGAGCGCGGGGCATTTGCCAGGTTTGGGCACGTTTCTTGACAAACTTGTCACTGTGCCCTAGAGGTGCACAGCAGTCCTGGGAATGCCAGTGGTGATTTTAGGTGGAGAAAGAGTGTGTGGTTGAGTGACTGGGACAGGGAAAAGTGAGGTGAGGCCAGGCAGGCCATGGGAGGCAGGTCCTATCAGTGTTCCTGGTGGTTGAGGAGGGAGGTGCTTAAATTCTGACAGTTTAAAAAGTAACATTCTAGAGAAGGTATTGAAAATGTGAATGATTATCACCTGTCAGAACTTAATGGCAGTTGACACTGCTGATGATGCTGGGGGTGAAGTTGAGCAGGCAGGGACCACCTGGAGAGGGCACTGTTGTGACAGGGACCTAAGAGTGGAGGGGGCTTGTCTGGGGTGTCTGTCCGCTCAGCACTGTGCAGAGCTCCACGCCTGTCTCTGCTCAGACGTGCTTCTCCCTCCGTGGACTGTGTGTGGAGAACTGTTCTGCGCCAGGCGCTGGCGATACCGTCTGGAACAGAGTCATTGTGGGTCTTGTCCTCAGGGAGTTTATGGTTTAGTGAGGAGACATCCAGAAAATGGTCCAGGTGATTTTACTGTGCTCAGTATCACAAAAGTGTTGATTGATACTGTGACATCACATATCTATAAAAAACGTGCAAGTCAAGAACCTTTCTGGACAAGATCTAGGAGGTGGAAACACTGAAACAGACTGAAAGACTGTGCAGACGTGAGTCCCGGTGAGGTAGAGGCAGGAAGGGTCTCGGAGGACTCTTGGCAGAAGGCGCAGTGCTAAGAGGGACCCAGGACCCTGAGGAGGAGGAGAAGGGTCCAAGGGCCAGGGCCAGTGTGCCTGGCCAGGGGGAAGAGAGTTATTGGACACGGCCCATGTGCACGCGAAACCGCACGACAGCTGCCTCCGTATTTGCCTTTCAGCAGGTAGAATATGAAAGGGGATTTAATTGTGTCCTAGTGTTTTGTATCACTATAATAAACTTGGTAGGAAATATGACAGTTTTGATAGGTTTCAATTATGTGGGCTTTTGTTGTTACTCATATTTACATATTTTAAAAATTTCTCAAAATAGAGAAGTTAGGATGGTGCTCCATGGAGAGACAACAAAGGTGGACTGGCCAGGTCCTGAGCTCTGTGGACCTCAGGAAGGGTGTTCATACCTTGAAGACACCTCACAAGTGGACACGCAGGTCCTGGGCTCTGTGGACCTGGGGAAGGATCTTCGCATTGTAGAGAGTGCACTTTCAGCCAGGGAAGACTCAGAGTTGTGCCCTTATGCCTGTTCACTCCACATGTCGAGTTGTGTTCGCATCACTCCTGGAGGCACGCACTGCCTGCCCCGGCCAGCAGTTTGGCGAGTGCTATTCTGCAGCCTGGCCCTGCACCGAGGACTGCCCTCAGCAGCTTCCACATCCCTGCTGGTCGCAGCCACAGTGCACCTGGGCCAGGACAGACTCCGGCCGCTGTCCTTAATGGCTGTCGCCCTTCAGCGCTCAGCACTGAGTAGTTTGTTAGAAAACACATCCAATAATTTATAAGAAGCTCATACACCATCAGAAAGTTTGAATTTTCTGTTTTTAGCTATTTTATTCTGTTTCCATGTCATTTATTATTAAGGATCATTCATGAAGATAGAAGATTCTCTTTTTTAAATACATTTTATTGATCTTTTGTTTCCTAGATCCTTTTGAACATGTATTAGAATGTGTTTCTGACCCCCCGTACTATTTCTCCTCAAAGAGACAGGAGCAGCCCTAGCCAAGGCTTCTGAGACATCCCGTGTAGCTCCCGAACACGGCTTCTCTCCTGACTCAGTTTACTTGCTCGCCTTGGCAAGCGTAGCAGCCAGCTGTGTGCCTGGCAGCACAGATGCTAAGTAGGCCTTGTCACATGTGGGCCGTATCGTAGCCCAGTTTTGTCCTCTTTGCCATGTGGCCTTTGGTTTTCCAGGGCGGTTTATCTTCTTAGAGTGTAGATGGCTCTAAAGCCATCCATGAAGGTCAACTGTGGTGCCTTTAATGTTACCTTGTGTTGGGACGTCTTTAGAATGCAAGCCTTGTCTTTAATTTCAAATCTTTTAGAACATCTTTGAACAATTTCCACATTCTATATATTTCCACACTACTATTTGCTGAGGAGTGTTTGAAAGGCTTTAAGATCTCAGGACAAACCCAAGGGCTCTTAATCTTCTTTGTAATTATAATTGATTACAAGTTGTGCATTCTCTTTAATCTTATACCTTAACAGTTAAATCTCAATTGAATTCCGGTTGGCTGTTAAGGGGACTTGAACTTGGGCCTTCCTCCTCTGTCACAGCATCTGAGTTCACTCAGACGAGGGCTCAAGCCACACAGACAGACAGACACCCTGGACGAGGGCTGGCCAGCGGGAGGACGCAGAGCTTGCAGTGCTGTGACACTCCATCACCCCTGTTGATTCAGAAAGCACTGTTTCTCCGGAGGACAGACTCGGGGCCTGGAGAAGCACCATGTTTTGTAGCGATAAGCCCAAGAGAGAGTTCCTGATACTGAGCTCCCAGAACCTGGAGGGAGCCGAGCCCTCTGAGGCAGGACTGTCAGGACCCGCTCTGGTCATGGGGACCCAGGCTGGCTGCAGGTCTTGAGTGTCACTCTGTGTGCCCGGCCATGTGGAGTTTGGACATCAGTAGAGGTCACCTCTGTTACTCTCTGTAAGTCTTTTGACTTCCCAGGGCTCACTCTGTTGTGTCTGTCAGTTTTCCTGGGACCTGCTGCCTGGTCTGTGCTTGTCCACTGTGCTCGATGTATGTCCCTCTGTGCCTCCCGCCCTCTTTCCTGGAGCCGCACGTGAGAGCTCCACTCAGTGCCAGAGCATGGTGAGCGCGGCCCTGTCTGCTTCTCCCCCAGTACCTAGCAGGACACTCGGTAATACTTTGATTGGCAGATACCTCTTTTTACATCTCTCGTACACCCATAAGTACATATTTACTTTTTTTTTAATTGAGTAAATTTAAGTAAACATTTTACTATCTTTTTGACCCAATAGTTTGAAGCTATTAATTATTTTGTTAAAGTGGTCTAGGGTGTATATTTTGTATGTATAAAATTTTCTGTGAATAGTCTTAATTAATTTTGAATTTGTAAGGATCAGTTGATAATCTGCAATTTAAACATAGTATCATATCAGGAGTTTAAAAATAGCAACTAAAAATGTGGTAGGCTCACTCTTTAAAATATTTAATAAGTAAACTAATTAGTTTGACTTGCTGAATTATATTTTGTAGTTATAAGTTTGAAATTTTTATATAAAAAATATCTTTTTTTCCCAAAGTTGACCTTGTTAGCATTTTTTTTCTTATTTTGCATTTGGAAAGTTGTTTGCCTAAAATGCAACTATACTGTTAATTAGATATTGATAGGATTTTGTATGAAATTTTCCCTATAGCTTGTGACAGGGGAGTCAGGTAGTAGCTAAGAGATTAATTACTGTTCCACTAATGTGAAATGAAACCGGACCCCATGCTGACTTTCGGACTGTAGCCACCAAGACCACTGCAGACATCACTGGGTATCAGAGCCCTGGTCCCTGAGTCAGTGGAGTGTAGCAGGGGATGTCATTGTACTTACGCCCTGTTTGGACCCAGAGCATCTGAATGTTTTTGTATTGATTTTTAATTAACTATAGTCAATTTGAGGTGTGCAAATATGGATCAGACAAATATAATCACTAGCTTTAAATAGTAAATGCTCATAAATCTTTTTCTCAATATAAATTGAACCAAATTTTTTTTTTTTAATTTTGGATGTTATTATCATCTTCACCTTTAGGGCCTTGATGAGATGGTACCTACCCGTTAAGAATTTCTTTATTGTGGTGGTTGTGATTTTAACACACCAGCATATTCCTGAACTTAGGTCTTTCTGAAAGAGAAGCTTCCCAAGTTTGAGCTAGTGGAAGGGAGCTTAATTTAACACTTGAAGTATAAATTAATTTTGCAGTCCTCCCATTGGAGTATGTTATTTACTGGGAATCTTTGCATCACTCTGTGTTTGTCGTGTTGTGCCCCCCCCCCAATCATCTGATGTGGCTAAAGATCAGTGTGATCTCCTGTCGTGCTCTCATCTCATTTGAAAATCAGCAGTTAACATCTTTTCTTTATTTCTTTATACCCTATATATTAACACATGGTTTACTCAATCTTTTAGCTTATGCTAGTCTCTAAATTCCTACCCTTTGTTAAAGAGAATGGAATATGTTCCAAATATTCCTGTGCTGATTTTAGTAATTTTAGGTATTAAAAAGCATGACAGACTCGGAAAAAAATATATTTAATCTAATTACAGTGCATACTCAATTTTGGTGAGAATCAACTGAGAGAATACATTTGAAAGGCTTTAGCAAATTTTGACAGATTATGCAAATACAGGATCAGAAATTTTGTTAAAGACTTTTTTTTTAATTGTTAGGCATTAGAATTTTCTTTTCTTCTTTTTTTTATTTCAGCATATTATAGGGGTATAAATGTTTAGGTTATGTACATTGCCCTTATACCCCCCCCTCAGTCAGAACTTCAAGCATGTCTATCCCCCAGTTGGTGTGCATCGCACTAATTATGTATGTATATACCCATCTCCTTCTCCCCCCTCCCATGTGCCCAACACCCAGTGAATGTTATTCCTATATGTCCACTTAGGTGTTGATTAGTTAAAACCGATTTGCTGGTGAGTACATGTGGTGCTTATTTTTCCATTCTTGGGATTCTTAGTAGAATGGGCTCCAACTCTATCCAGGAAAATACAAGAGGTGCTATATCATCGTTGTTTCTTATAGCTGAATAGTACTCTATGGTATACATATACCACATTTTATTAATCCACTCGTGTATTGATAGGCACTTGGATTGTTTCCCGATCTTTTCAATTGTGAATTGTGCTGCTATAAACATTCTAGTGCAAATGTCTTTTTTTATAGAATGTCTTTTGTTCATTTGGGTAGATGCCCAGTAATGGGATTGCTGGATCAAATGGTAAATCTACTTGTATCTCTTTGAGGTATCTCCATGTTGCTTTCCACAGAGGTTGCACTAGTTTGCAGTCCCACCAGTAGTGTGTATGTCTTGCATTTCTCGCATTTAATTTGGGTAAATTGTAATGCCAGCTGAAAAGTCCACGTGGCTCATGAATCTGCTTTTAGGGCAAGGGATTCTAGTTTGACTAATTATTGGTAGGCTCCTTTGGGACTTTGTCATTTAGCTAATGTTAAAACGTAAATTAATTTTATGCAATTTGCCTTGTTACATCATTGTAATTGTTCAACATTAGTGGTGCTTTTATTTTATTTTATTTTATTTTTTGAGACAGAGTCTCGCTTTGGTGCCTAGACTGGAGTGAGTGCCATGGCGTCAGCCTAGCTCACAGCAACCTCAAACTTCTGGGCTCAAGCGATCCTGCTGCCTCAGCCTCCCAAGTAGCTGGGACTACAGACATGCGCCACCATGCCTGGCTAATTTTTTCTATATACATTAGTTGGCCAATTAATTTCTTTCTATTTACAGTAGAAACGGGGTCTCGCTCTCGCTCAGGCTGGTTTCGAACTCCTGACCCCGAGCTATCCGCCCACTTCGGCCTCCCAGAGTGCTAGTATTACAGGCATGAGCCACCTCGCCTGGCTGGCCTAGTAGTGCTTTTATATTTTGATTAAGTTAGACTGAATTTGCAACATGGAAAATATTGATAAGGTCATATTTGATATTTGGTTCACTAACATAAAAGTATTATATGACACAAGTCTTTGAAAACTTTTCATACTATTATATGTATTTAATATTTTTATGAATACTGAGTACAGTCATCTAGGAAGTTTGTATGGACAATGCCAACGACAATATTTGTCTAGCTGGACAAACTTATATCCCAAGTGTAGGCTGGCAGTGCCTTTCATGAACTTGACAAACTGACACCTCCAAACTCTCCCAGTGACCCATAGTTGAAGAGGAAAAATATGTGACCTCTTCAGATATCACTGACGAGGAATACCTTAGCACCTTCCATCCTCCTAAGCTTTCTAAAGTGGAAGGTGTAAGTCACGTGACACATGTGTATGCCAGAATCTGTGGTCACATAAAGCCAAGAGATAGTCCATACCATTTACTCCAAAGGTTCTGACTCAGCACTCACAAAATATTATGTATTAGTGTGAAAGCAAAGAGTTTTTGTGTAATTATTATAGTTAATTATGTAATGGTAATTTCAGTATTATGTATATATTGTCTTTCTTACCTTAATTGTGTTTCTTACCTTCAAAACTTATAAACATTAGGGATGAAAATTAGGAATATAAATTATGCATAGCTGTAATTGCAGAAGGAGACTTCCATGGTTTTTAATTTTGACATTCCAGAATTGAGTACCTCTTAGCCTTTGTAATCTATGGGTCATTCTTAAGGGTGTTTTATTATTCTTTATAAGTTTAAAAATTATTGTATCTTCTTGACTGGTAAAATTAGAAAACCTAACTTTCAGAGACATGAATAAAAGAGATTAGTAACTTCTAAATGTAAAATCAATAAAATGTAAAATCAAATATTTTTATAACATTTCTATTGTTAATTAAATATACACTCTGAAATACTCGCAAAGACTCTTGCTGATACTTAGTAGTACTTTGATCTTTGCAGTGGAAGTATACTCTTGGTAAAAGAATCTGGTCAATGGGTGCCATCTTGGTATGAAGGTCATATAATGAGTTTGATCAGTTAAGAGCATAGCTTCTCTAAATATAGTAGACATTAGCGAAATGCCGGTTTCATTCTTTTTGTTGTCAGTGAAAAGAATATTAGTACATTTTCTAATATTATATGTAGGTGAATTTGTATTGCTTAACAAATCATTTGACTTTTCAAAGTCCATTTTAAAAGTTGAGATTAGATTTTCCTCAGCTAGCCAAATTAAATAGTGTTGTATGCATTTATGTAAAATCAAAATTTATGTAAAATCAAATAGTGCAATATTTTCCATCAAAACGATTAATTAGAAAGTGTAACCTGTTTGCTAACCTTTAAAGTATTTCTATAAGGACAACTTTCGTGTTTTTGCAGGTACTGTAATAGGTGTTGTCATTTATACTGGAAAAGAGACTCGAAGTGTTATGAACACATCCAATCCAAAAAATAAGGTAGGCTAGATGAAGGAGAAACTGTGCTAATGAACTTGCTTTTTCCTTTCAGTAAGAAAGTCTGCATAGTTCTGACTAGCTCATTCATGTTAGCTTAATATAGAGCATGAAAATAGAATTTCAGTAATGTTGGCGATTTAGGATATGAATTCTCTGTGTTTATATTACAACATTCTCACACTGAGGAATTTCTGAAAGTATCTTCTCTTGGCTAATCAGAGTTTTATATATGTCTTACATTTTCATTATTAGATATGTAATTGACAGTTAATTGTAGCTATCTAATTTCTTCAATCTATTTATTTTACAATTTATACTCTTTATGTTTATGGTTCATTTTTAAACAAAGGAATCTCTATTAATGTTTTTATAGTATTTAATTTGAATGTCAGTTATATTGTTAAACCAATTTATTTCCATTTCAGAAGAAACATTGAAAACCAAATTTTAGTTTTAAAGAGTACTTGTTTATATTTCTAAATTGACTATAGTCCTACAGTTGTTATTTATGCAGTCAACATGTATAAGTTAAATCATAACAAAAAAGCATGAATTCTCAATAGTTATATATTACTTGGATGATAAATTTTATATGTTGAAGTCATAGTGTGTGCTAATAAGCAGATAATGAGAAGCTCTTTCTAATTACTAGTTTTACTTATTTTTATTTGAAAGATCTGTGTGTACTTAAGTAGTACAAAAATTGTGTGAGTTTGTGCTTGCTCTATGAGGAATTAATAGGAAAGGTTGTCTTTTGCTGGAAATTCAATTACAGAGCAATAGAAAAGAAAATATTTTTGAAATGATATGGTTAGGACCAGAAGTATTCCACTTTTTCAGCCAAGTACTATTTAAAAAATAGTTAACTCTTCAAAAATTAGGAAAGCATACCCACCCTATGAATGCCGGGGGCTATTTGCAGTTCGGTGTGTCTGCTGCCTGCTTTTTGATCAGGCGCAAGTTAATTTGTGGTGTGCAAATACGGATCAGACAAATATGTCTTGTTAGCTTTGCAGCCTGGCGTAAAAGTGTTCTTCCAGTGGCTGGCACCTTCCTGGAGCTTAGTAAGTGTTCTGTCCTCTCCCCCAGTCTAAAACCGTGATAATGGCGGTAGCTCAGGCGTAGAGAGCATTTACCTTGTGGTGGGTACTTACCTAAAACTTCACATGCATGTGTCTCAAGACCACACAGCAGCCCCTAGAGGAGAACGGTGCACTCCTTCCTGGCTGCATCTCCAGGGAGAGGGAGGGCGTTGAGTGGTGAGGTGTCAGCACAGCCGCCCAGGCCCTGCCTGTGGTAAAGCCCCGAGGAGGTCTTCCTTGGACCTGGTATTTAAATTTTTTAAATTAAGGAATAACCTAAGAGGGAAATGAAATATATACATTTGCAAAGTAATTCAGTCTCTCTGAGTGTTGAATGCTAGTTTCATAAGAATAAAATTCAGAAAAAGTTTTCAGGTATGCTATAATGGGCAGAAAGTAACAGATGCAATTCATCTAGGGGAGGTATTGATAGTGATATATGTTAAATGAAAAAGATTATATGATATTTGTTCCTAAATAGAGAAAGGAAGACAGAAATTGTTTACTTGTTTGTAAGATTCTGAAAACTACATCTTACTGTTATTCTATTGCTTAGTAAACCAATAAACTCTTGTACTTCAAAGAAGGCCAGTACAAACAAAACAGTAGAACATTTAAAAGGAGAAACTAATCATCACCTGAGTTTCATTGAATTTTTTCAGGTAAACAGAAATATTCCTAGCACTCAATTCTGATAGCTAATGCAGAGAATATATTTGGAGACATCGATTGATATACTGGTCAGTTGAAATTTAGTTTGGAGTTCATTGTCATCAGAGTAATTTGGGCTGGAAATATGTATTTTTGAATGAGTAGTGGTTATCAGCCAGGGTAGGCCACATCATGCTGTGGGTGAACTGCCCCACACCACTCTGTGGCTTAGTACCGGGATCTTTTCCTTGTGTGACATGTCTCACACAAGCTGGCAGCTGCCTGCTTTGTCATGGTCCCTCGGGAACCCACCTTGGAAGCATACTTCTGTGACCACTGGGATGAGAAAAACTGACCTGGCAAATCATAATACTGACTGATTCTAAGGGCTTCTGCCAGGAGCGATGTAGGTCACATTTCATTGGCCAGACCAATTAAATGGCCTCAACTAAGTTCCAGGAATCAGGGAAGTGCAGTTCTACCCCATGTGCAGGAGAGAGAATTGGCAATATTTAACAAGCAGCACTGATACCAACAGTGAGATTTTACGTAGTGTACAAGAAGGAAGAACCTTGTAGAACCCTGAAGGATGCCAGTGGTTCATGGGTGAAGCAGAGGAGGTGAAATCAGGAAAAGGACATGGAATGAGGACAGCATTTCAGAAGGCGGTTGTAGTCAGCAGTGTGTCGGAGAGTGTGGAGATAGTTTGGGGTGAAAAAGGAAAAGAGGTTAGTTAGATTTAGCAATTAGGAAAGTATCAGTAAAATTAAAACTGCTGCAGTAGATTTATTGGGGCGGAACTCTTTCCAGGAGTCCCGTGGGGAAGGCAGGGTGTTGAGGGAGCCAGGGCCACGGGTGAGGGGCGGGAGGCCCCAGTGTGACTCTGGCCCTGAGTCCGAGCCACAGTGGAAGAACGGTGATTAAAATTGACCAGTGATACTGTAAGGGAAAAGATTTTATTGTTTTTATCTGGTAAGAAAAACCAGTATCATGAGACTATTAATACTTTCAGTAAAAGAATAGAGGGTCTTACTTTATAAAGAAGAAACATACCAATTCTGTGGAAGAATGAGTTTAGTGGGCATCTGGTAGCAACTTAAACATTTGAAGATAATATTACTTAAAAGATTGTATCCTTTCGGGGCTCCCTCTTTCTTCCCTTCCCTTTTCCTCCCTCCGCTCCTTTTTTCTTTCCTTTCATATTTTATTTCCTACTTCATTACAGTATATGTAACAGGTCCATGCAAATTTGCAAAATTGCTTTAAGTTCCTAAGATTTAAAAAATGCTACAATAAAGTCAATATGATATAAGAAAACAAAGTTAATCGTAACAGCAGTGAGGTAGTGAAATTGATGCAGAATGTGGGAAGGGTCTGAAATAGTTCCTAAAAGTATTGAGAAGGGTTATAGCCTAACACTTTAGGCTCATAAACTGCTGAGTAGTGAGCAGGCATTGCTGTGGTTGAGAACCATGAATTTGTAATGGGGCCAGTCACGAGGGTGTAGCTTTTCCTAGGCTGATTGGAAGAGCCCCAAAGCAGAAGCACAGGGGCCCTGAGTTGGCCCAGAGGTGTAGGCTGGCAGGTGGGTGTGTCAGCAGGTAAGGTGCAGGGCTGGGCTCCTGGTCAGGATGGGAGGCAGCAGCCTGGAGGCCATGTGTGGCCAAGTCACGTGGGAAGCAGAGGAGTCATTGGGGTGAGGTTCAGTGCACAGCAATAAAAATGAGTTGTTGAAGTTCAGAGGCTGCTGTAGATGCTGCAGTATCCAAACTGTGTGTAATGCTTTGGAGAGCAGTATTTCCTTTTAAAAAGTATGTTTTCTAGCCACTTTGGAAGATAGTGTGTGAAGGCACATACACCATTATTTCACATATTCTAGTTTTGTCCAGTAACTTCTCTTTTAAGGAGACATGTTAACAGTCTTATATTCCTCAGTTGCTTATAGGTCACTTACAGTACAAATTCATTTTAACAAATACTATATTTATTGATTTATCTTCTTTATTGCACAGTACAACAAGAAAGAGAGAATCCTTTACTTTAACGGGTTGCTCCAAGTGGGAGATGAGGACTTCACACCCTCTTCCCCTCTGGGTGTCCTCCTGTGCTGCCTGCGCTGGGGGCTGCCGCCTCATTTGGGTTGCCTTCTGCTGTGAAATTTCTGGCATCTAATTGCTTTAATAATAATAGAAAATAATCCAGACAATCATTGTTACAAAGCACGGTTAAGGGGGCAGATGTTTTCTAGTTCATTGCTGTTCTTTGACTGGCAGAGCGCATAAAGCATGGAAGGCCATCCTGGCCACGACTGGGCTCTGAGCACGTGGTCAGCTGTCGTTGCAGTGCGGGGTCCAAGGGGCCTTCAGCCTCTCACAGGCCTTCACCTGGAGTGCTCGTGTGCACACATCCCTCCCCAGCAGAGCTCCTGGCCGGGAGAAGGCCACCGGGTGCGCACTCCCTCACCTCACAGCACCCCAAGTGCCCACACCCTCTCAGCACAGCTTCCTGTCCCCCAGCTGCCATCCTGCCATCAGGGCTGTGGCTCCCTGAGGACCAGTGTTTGTACTTTTAGAAACGTCCTCCCAGAGTTAAGCAGATAGATGTTAGGTATTTAACCAGTTTTATTAGTTACTTTATAAAAGATATTTTTAAACTAGCCATTCTCCTCAGCTAATGTCCTATAACCTTTTTGGTCAGTTCTCCATTTGGTCTTCATTTTGGACACTTGTTCTTCTTTAGCTCCTTTTTAAAAAAAACTTGCTATGAAAAATTTTAAACATACAGAAAACTGGGGAGAATGACATGATCACTCATGTCCCCAAGCCCAGGCCGGCAGATGTCTCCTGCCTGTTTGATCTTTCCCAGGGTTTCACATGTCATGCCACTTTATCCCTAAATACGCATTTTAAAAGACAAACACAGAGACGCTTTGTCTAGCTGCTGCCTTGACACCGTCCCTTCCGTCTGGTGCAGCTGAGCAGGATGCGTTGTGGCTCCAGCCTGGCCACATCTGCATCAGGGCTGCCTTTCGCACCCCCCTATCCTAAAATTCAAACTCTTGCCCCTGTCGGACTTCCTGAATCAGAAACTGGGGTGCACGGGAAAGATTGAGAATCTCCCCTCCAGTTTTTATGTCCTTTCCCTAGTGGTTGCAAAAAATTTAAGATTTTAAAAAAATCCTGTATATAAAATTAGTTAAGGTAGAACTAAATTTAGTAACTCTGACAAGTGTCCCACTTTCATTCATTCTTTTGGATTTGTCTCTGA